GAGATGTGGTGCGAACAACGAGCAACGTACGGCAGCTTACGGACGAGGAGATGCAGCGTCGAAGAGAAAAGGGCCTATGCTATTCGTGCAATGAGAAATTTGCGCCAAGCCACAAGTGCAAAGGTAAGGAAGTCTTTCTGTTGGAATTTGAGAAGGATTGTGAGGAAGAAAAGCCACAAGAGGAGTCCTTGTTACATGTGGTTAAATGCAAAAAGCGTTATCCGAAGATGATCAGGGTCACTGTCGAGATAAAGGATATGTTGCTGGAAGTGTTGGTGGATAGTGGGTCGAGTCTGAATTTTATCGACGAAGGAATAGCCAGGAGATTGAAGTTGGAACCCACTAAGGTCAAGAGGTTCGGGGTCAAGGTAGCCAATGGGCATGAGCTACAAGGTAATCAATTATTCAAGAAGGTTCCGATTATGGCCCAGGATCAAGAGTTGAAAATTGATCTCTACGCCTTACCACTTAAGGCAACTAATATCGTGTTGGGAGTACAGTGGCTGGAAACACTTGGGCCCATTATGACCGACTATAAACGAGGGAAGATGGAGTTTGGTCAGCCAGGGAAGCGCATTAAGTTGAGAACTGAAGAGCAAGGCGACCTCCTATTGAAGAAGACAGTGACAGTGATGTGGATGTGCTGAACTATCTTATCCTTGGGGACAAGGAAAGTCTTAAAGAGGAGGGGAATGATACGGAAGTGGGGACCAGCGCTAGCAAGTCTAGTGAGAGTGAAGAGATAAAATGCAAAGGGTGTGCATCGGCCCTTGATGCGCACGAGTGGGTGAGCAAAATACGCACGCGGGCCGTGCGGGGCATACGCGGGTGCGCATGGGCGAATGGCAGGAACGCGGGTAACCGGGACGCGCGGGCGATAGGCAGCGGAGGCGGAGAGTGCGCTAGACGCGAAAGTAAGCAGGACGCGGGCGCAGGCCTAGACCGAGTAGGCGTAGCAGTATGGGGCGCGCGGCAGCACGCGCACGAGAAGAGCCGAAGTGGCGATGGGCGTGCGATAGCGCGCAAGTGCGGGACAAGCGCGAATGTCCTAATTTGCGCAAGTGTAAGCAGGACGGGCGAGGGGGCGCACGCGCAGGAGCAAGGCGGCGCAGGTTTGGGGCACAGGAAGGCGTGCGCGTGCGGCACAGGCGAAGCGCGAAAGACCGCGCACGAGGAGGAATAGGAGCTGCGGGCGGCGCACGTTGGAAGGCGGCATGCGAAGGGTTTGGGCGTATGACTTGGACATCAAGATTTTGGATGGGAGTGCAAGTCAAGAAATAATAATTATAGTAGTAGTAGGATTTTATTTCCTTGTTGCTTTTAATTATTGGTTTAGGAGATCTAGTTTAGTTAGGCTTAGATTTATTTTATGCACCTATAAATACCCATGTACCTCTTTATTATTGAGCATGTTGGAATTGATTAGTGAATAGAAAAGGGGAACATTGTATTCTACGTGTGTATAAGCAAGGTCGTAGTGTGTGTTTATCATACTATCGTGTTAGAGAGAAGGCCCTTAGAGCGTCTTGAAGTCACAGTGTCTAAGAGAAGGCCTTGAGTGTGTCCGTTAGTCATACCTATCGTGTGTAGTCGAGGCCCTGAGTCTAAATAGACAGAAACCGCGATCGTTCATCACGTGCGCGCCACGTCTCCTAGGTGGGCG